TACAAATATTGTATAGTTTTACTAGATTCTCTTTACTACTACTAATTAGATTAGCGTTATCCATGAAGGCTAAATGATTAATTTTCTCATTAATAATATTCGTCCATCCTGTATTAATATTAATAATTTCTTGTGCTTTTATTTCATAACCCCAACTGTCTTCTTTTTTTAAACGATCTAGTAATGGCTCAAAAAAAATCCTCCACAGGATCGGGGACCATACTTCACCCTGGTCTATGCCGTCCTCAACCTCATAAAAATTTGTATAATCATTCTGTACCATCACTCTATTCTCTCTATTATAAAAAATTTCTTCCACAATATCAACAAATCCTTCTGGAATCTTTAATCTTTCCAAAGCCTTTATTAACAAAAAGCCTAAAACTGAATCATAGGCTTTGGAGATGTCCATCATTAATACCCAGCATTCTTTCTTACGAAGTCTAGCGTCTTCTATAATTGATTGTAAAATTTTTATCGGTTCAAAACAACTCTCTCCCTCTAATGCCGCAAAATTATAACCCTTCAAAACTTTGTATTCTTTCAGAATTTTTGTCAATCGTTTTGTTAAAATTTTTAACATACATTTTCTTACACACTCTAATAACGTAATTGGACGTGTGATCGAAATATCACCTCCCCAATCTTCTTTTTTTGGAATCGGAAAAATTTGGCCTTTCAACCAATCTTTAGGAAATTTCCTTGTCTTTAAACATGAATTCATTAGATCAACTAGTTTTCCTTTCATTACATTCCTGTTATGCTTCATGAAATCGTATGTGATTCCTGAAATTCCTGGTGCCCTCCAATTGTTAGTTGATGCTAATATTTCTTCGAATTCACTTAATTCGATTTGTTCCATTAACGACTCATAAATACATTCATCTATATCTGTCCTTGGTTCATATTCATGTTTCCAATAATCCCATTCGTTCATATCACAGGTCGAACAGATGTCATTATCGCAAAATTTGCCTGGAATTTTTCTGGCAAATTGAGAATTATCCCGGTAAATTGAGGTAAATTGTGTTACAATTTTGGGATAATGGAGGACTTACAATTTGGCAAATTTTGTCAAAATGGCGGAATTCCTACAGAATTACTAATTCAAATGTTGAGAAATTTTTCAGTAAATTATCATTAAATTGTGGGAAATTTTAGGCAAATTTTTAGTAATGTTATGCAAACGAAGTGTAAATTGTGGTGAATTTAGTTAAATTTTTAGTAATTTTATGCAAACGTAATGTAAATTGTGGTGAATTTTAGGCAAATTTTTAGTAATTTTATGCAAACGAAGTGCAAATTG